ATCAACTTCACACGATAATTTCAATAGCAACCACGTGCGTACAATTGACAAACTCACATAGGTTATGTTTACTACTTAAGAACAGCTGATGAGAGGGGTGTTATGTAAACAAACATGTGTACCAACTGTTGGTGATGAAATATTTCATTTGTTGAAAACTCAATATACATATATATAATATAATGATACTATATCTTGAAAACAAGAGCTAATATATAATTTTTATGGTCACTTTCGGTTTAAACACGTGGAAATACATTAAAATCATCTAATTTCAACCCCTTAACAAAAACTTTGTTGTGTTGTGATATCGACTTTGATTGAAAGAAATTACTTATTGGTAAACGTGTAGTTCCAAGGACAGGTATCTAGCAGGTTCTAAGCAGGAAGATTTCATTATAATAAAATCAACATGGTAAATTTTCTATGATTAATTGATCAGTAACAATAATTCACCTGATTTGTACCTGCTGCATACCTGTTCTTGAACCTACCTATTCAGCAGTACCAGTCTCACTGAGGAAATCACTATATAGTGAAACGTGTATTCAAAACGAAGTCTATCGTGAAACTTTCAATCGATAAGCAGAGGTGCTGGTCTCTTGAAATGGTCTGCTATACATGACGCCCGTAGATTTATTTTGTGGTTATTCATGAACTCTGAAGAGTACGTTACACTGCCACATTGTATATTGATTCTTCAAAAACGAACTAGTTTGGGATAGAAAACTGGAAAACCTATCAAATAAGGTGTCCCAAGACTTCCTTTCGTTTCGAATAAAGCTGATAGCGCCGCCTTCTTGGGGATGCCACACTATTGCTTCTATCTTCGATATACTAACAACCGACAGATGAATCGTACGAAACATGCATAACGTCCTATATCGATAATCATTCGAAGATTTATATAACCGAATGAATATTACCCCGACTCCTGGGAGCAGTAGAAGACCCGATGGAGCAGTCCAGGACATCCTAGAGGAGTACCCACTGGTTATCAGATAGAGGACAGCGTACGGCCTCGAACACCCTGAAGTCTCAGGCATACCTTCTCCGGCCTAACAAAAACTCGATCTCTCAATAACGACCACCGCTATGGACCCGGACACTCCAACTAATAATGCAACTACTAACTCCGATAATTTTAATTTGAATTATTTGTAAATTAACCCAACCTTGACGTGGCATAAGCCTATAACAGAGGACCCCCTTATATCATTATATCTATACAGGGCTTTTCATGATGAGCGTTAATTAGCCGTTTCTGGCAAACTATCCAACGGATCAACCTGAAAATTCCACAGTATGCATAAGTCAATATGACCTACACGCCTAAAATATTTTAGACGAAGCGGCGTTGTCGCTTCTACTATAAAGTAGCGGCTTCTTTGATTTTTCAAATGGAACACCCCGCATATAATATCATATTATGATTCATTATCACTTTGTCAACAAATTCATATGCTATTCCTCTATACCTATATATTACCGTTTAGGAGATATAAATTAATTTCGATATTTTTTTTACCAAACATGAACTTTTATAAATGCTGATAATCTTGAACTCTCTTGCACTAAAACGATCAAATTTGAAATGGAGTGGAGTGATACTATGAGGATCTTCACTCCGAGTCATATTTTCATTTGCCTCATACAGGGTCT